AAGAGCTGCTATTCTCTGTCTCTGATTGAGAATGTAATCAACTGTCTCATAAGAGCTGTCATATTCACACAACTGAATATGATCAATGTATATACATAGCTGTGAATACAGTCTGAGAATGAATGAAAGACTATCTTTAGAACTACACTAAGATTATTTAAATATCTAGTGATGTCTTTTAATCTGACTAATACTCTCACAGTATTTCAGTCTTTCATTAATAAAACACTTTATATATATCTGAATATCTTCATGATAATATATCTGAATAATGTGATAATGTACTTTATAAAGAAGAAAGAACACACTGAGTATGTACAAAGCATGTTGAAGATCTTAGATGAGATAGAACTGTATATTAAGCTCACAAAGTACAACTTCAGTGCTCACTGAATTAATTTCCTAGAATATGTAATTATCACAGATGATATTCAGATGAAATCTTCATAGATTAAGACTATTCTATCATGACTGAAGCTAACTAGTATTTATAAGATTCAGATCTTTCTGAGCTTTGTGAATTTCTATAGATAGTTTATCTTTGTGTTCATAAGAATCTTCTTGACTCTTATAGATATACTGAAGAATGAAAATAAGAAGAAGTCATTCTGTAAATAGAGAATGAAAAGATTGTTAAGAAGAGAGAACTGTGAGAACTTTCTTATCTCAGAAGCTTACAGAATCTTTATAAGATTGAAACAGATATTCACAGATATAGTGATACTGTTTTACTTTGATCTCTTACTCTTAATCAGATTGAAGACAGATGTCTTCTTCTTTATAATTTCAGAAATAGTCTCATAATTATAGTTAAATGAGAACTGAGTTTCAGTGGCCTTTTTCTTATAGAAGATATAACTTATAAAGATTAACTATAACATTCATAATCAGAAGCTTCTCATAATAGTGAAATTCTTCTATCACTGATGTCACTACTTTAAGAGTCTTATAATAGTGATTACTGTTAGAACTGATCATGATAGCTTGTAATAGTTTACTTCAATCAAAAAACTCTCACAGTAGCAGATTCACTGAGCTCAGAGACTGAGTGAGTTCTGATTCAAGATAGAACATATTAAGAGAACTAAGAACTCAGTGAACAGACTCTCTCACAGGTCAGACTATATTAAGAAGACTAGAATGACAGACACAGAGAGACTAGAGAAGACAGAAAAGCTTCATAAAATACTTGAACTGAGTGTTATAAAGAGATTGACTGAAAAGTCTCTCAATTCTCTGTGAGAGAAGAAGAAAGAGAGAGAAAAGAAGTCTGTATAACTACTCTCTACAATACTGAGAGTTAACACTCTGAGAATCTTTATAAGAATTCTTGAAGAGAGTATCTATAATCTGAAAAATTTACAGGCTTTGAGAAGCATTATAGAAGATCTGATATAAGAGAAAACAAAGTATAAGTCTTTACAAGATCTTCTATTCAGATTGTCTAAACTACAACTGAAGAATAAATATACTCAGTATATTTAAAAACTGCTTACAGCAGAAATCAATCCTGCAGAAATAAAGAATTGAAGAGACTTAAATAATCTCTTATAAAGAGAGAGCTGAATTTATATATCTGTGAATAAGTTTCTATATATAGAACTTATTAAAAGACATTATAACTCTTCTCTAGTGAGTTATTTTATAGATACTAGAATTTATAAGTTATTTATAAGAAAATACTTCTGATCAAAGATGTAAGAACTTGTGAAGAAGATAGTAAATTCTTATACTGTTTATCAGAGTTCATAGATAGTATAGTTTAGATTATATAAAGAACTTACTTCTCTACTCATCTCACAGAAATCTTGAGAACAGCTAGAAATGAATACTCTTATAAGTCTCTCAGAAAGCAAGAATATATATAATATCTGCTTTGACAGTATACTAATAATAGTGAATTACTTTATTAAGATAACATACTTTATACTCATCTGTAAGAACTTGAAGTCAAAGAATTTAACTTATATCTTTATCTGTGATATAGTTCAGTTACATGAGTTATCTGTAAACATTGTCTCAGATAGAAAATCAATCTTTACAGAAGAGTTCTGATCTGATCTGATAACTATACTAAAGATCTTACAAGATCTAAGTATAGCTTTTCATTAACAGATAGATAGTCAGATAGAATATCTGATGAGTATATTAAAACAGTATCTGCAGTGCTTTATCAATTACAATCAGAATGACTGAGTGTATTAATTACTACTTACAGAGTTTGTATATAATAACTTAAAACATGTCAGTATAGATAAAACTCTCTTTAAGATGCTCACTGAGACTTATTCACAGATAATCTTAATAAACTTATAAGAGTACACTATAGAGTGTAATGATGCTTATGAACAGACTGAGAGAATTCAGAATATTCAGAAGAAAGTCTGTAAATTCTTGAGAAAGACTTAAGAGTATCAGAAGAGATACTATAACTTTTAGTATATTATAAAGAGTTTTAAGAAAGATGATAGAGTCTGATTGAGTCTAGAAAATATTACTATACAGAGATCTAGTAAGAAGCTGAATCTCTTACAGATAGAGTCTTATAAGATTATGAAGAAAGTTAGTTTACAGTTCTATAGATTGAAACTGTTATCTAAGTTATAGATATATAATGTTTTTTATATCTCTTTACTTTATAAATATAAGAAATTCTTAGAAGAGAATTCTGTGACTTATCACTCTATTTATAAAGTACTAGAGAGTGAAAGAGAATATAAGATTAAAGAGATTATTAACTCAGAGAAGTGAGATCACAAGCTCTAATTCAAGATTCAGTGATAAGAGTATTCTGATAAGATGAATGAGTTTATTTAAGAATTATTCAGACAGATAAGATATCTGCAGAAGCTGAGACATGACTTTTATACTGTAAATTCTGATAAGTCAGAATAATACAGTCTTTATTAAAAACCTGATTATAATAAAGATATTAACACTGTTATTTATAAATTCTAGTCTATAAGATAATAAGTTTCTACTGAGATGAACAGTCTGCAGTGTATATAAGAAAAGAAGAAATCATATTCTTATTAAAGCTAAAAAATAAGAAAATAAACAGAGTTATGAATATAATTTGAAGATTAATAAAGAAAAAATAAAGAAAACTTAAACTCATATTCTTAATATTTATAACACTCAATTTCTTCATAACTATCAATTTTCTTCTTTAAAGAAACAGAGAGTATTATGCCTGCAGTACAGATAATTATTATATTTAATATAAAGACTGTTAGAAATACACAGACTTTAGATGAGTCAGACATCAGAATGTATACAGTTATAACAGAGTCTTAAGAGCTGATTATCTGTATATGTGATCAGATACTTCTCACAAAGCTGTGTTCACTCTCTCAGTTATACTGAAGTATTCAGTCTGAAAATAATTGAGATATGAAAAGAGAGCTCATCTGCTCAGATTAACTTTTATCACAAATTTATAATATTTACATTGTCTTGATTATCTGAATTTTGCAGATACTCAGAGACTCATCTCTTATTAATAATGAAATTGTGAAAATGTACTGTGATGTAAGAATTATTGATAGAGAATCTAGATATATTCATATATATCTGATCAGTGATTGTGCAGGTAGAAAGAGAGTGATTATAGACCTGCAGAATCACAGAAGACACTGATAACATAGAGAGCTTTATAAGAACTGTCAGCTAGAGTCTGTAAGAAATTACTTATAAGAAGACTTACAGCAAAGAGAGAAACTACACTGCTTAAAGTCAGAGACTGATCTGAAAAAGACAGAGAATTGACTGCTGATCTGAAGATCAGATGCAGTAACAGAGCTGAGAGAAGTAAAGATGTAATTATAAGTGATAATATTTCTACTTCATCAGTCAGTAAAAAGTGACTAGAGAAGTCATAGAGATACTTATAAGAAGCTTAGCAGTGATCAGATATTATTATAAAGATATTAAAATTAAAAAATTTTTATTCTTGAGAAGTTCTTGAATTAATATATAAATATTATCAGAAACACTCTCTCTCTATTATCTGAGTGAAAACACTTTACAGATGAATAAGAATACTCACAGTTTATAAGAATAAGAGCTGTTATAGAAAAAGAGAAAAGAAGATGAAGTTCTATAAACAGATCTGAGATATTTATACTACTTTAAAGAGATTTGCTTACACTGTGAGTAATCTCACAGAATAGTCAGATTACTCTAATAAATAAGAGTGATTGTGAATTACAGATCTGAATCTTTCTATATAACTATAAAGAGTGATTATAGACTGTAGATATCTTAATTCTATAATTCTACAGAGTTAATAATAATAATAATAATAATAATAATAACAGTGTCAAAGAATAATGATTTATAAGAATAAGTGAAAGATCAACTTACAAATATTTCTCTTTAATAAGAATAATCTTATAAAGAGTAATTTATCTGTAAGATGAATCTGTGTAATAATCATATAAGAATCTTATAAAAATGATTAAGAGTTAATCAGAACTCTTCTATATAAAAGATGTGAGATGAATCTGTGTGATAGTCAGAGAAGAATCTGTAAACTATAAAGAATCTCACAGAATAAGAAACTGAGTAACAGACTCTTTTCTCTTCACAGTAATAAGAGATTTTTCCTCACTGAGATTTTTTATAGATATGAAGAGTTTTTAGTGAGTATCACTACAGTGCTGAGCTGATTCTATGAAGTCACTCAGTGAAAGGCTTCACAGACAAAGTCTTAGAGAGAAGAAAATATGTAAGAAATCTCACTTCTTACAGATTCTTTACTTCTATTTCTATCTCTCATGTAATTAATAGAGCTAGTGGCCCTTGGCTACACACAACTATATAGACTGGAGTTCATAAATACTATTCATAACTCAGCTTAAATGCTATTATACATTTGATTTCTACATTTTATCTTTCTATCACAAATACTTCTAGTAGTTAACAGTACATATCACACCAAGCTGCAAACACCTGAATAATCACCTGCGAGCACTTATTCTTACATTTTATCATCTTCTTCTTTCTCACTTAGTTCTGATTTTTTTTTTTATTTTTTTTGTTTCATATTACAAAATCAGTTTCATGGTCACTTGTTTTATCGGGCAATTCAGAGAAAGAAGTGTATTTCTCAAACCTAATAAAACTTGGAACACTGAGCATAAGTATATAAAAGGAAAATATAATACAGAGGTACAGTACAGTAAATATATACATGTAAAGGTATAAACAGAAGCGCAATATACATGTTTCTCCCGTTTGAAGACGGTCGTTGCCCGCGTGTCTTCCTCATTGGGGTAGGGGTTCAAGGGCCCTTGATCCTGTTACTAGTCGTCTAGAAGGTTGACGCCTCAGGTAGCGAAAAGGGTCCCGGAGTCAATACTCTTTCCCCGAGTTGCAACTACTGGCTTGTTTTAACTCTCAAAAGTGTGTGTTGGTGGGCTTGTAATATTTCTAGCATCTTGATAATCATCTAACTATTGAGATGGTTGCGCCGGCGTTGTAGTGGGGGCCGCATTACCATCGTTTGCTTCAGACATAGCACCTTGGCTAGATTCCTCATGATACGAACAATTTTGATTTCCGCTCGATGCAAGTCTAGCAGCATCCCGCTGTGGCAGTTCCTCGAGTGGTGGGAGGGTATAATTTGAGCTTTTCCAGGGTGGAACACGCAAGATATACATAGTATCAAGCTCTTCGAGTGTTCGACCTTTACCTTCAATGACCCCAAAATACACGGTCATCGCGCCAAGAAAGAGGCAGCCAGCGAAGACGTAGCCGTATCTGAAGTCGATGGCACTCGTGATAAAGGGAGTAAAGAAAGCGATGAGGAAGTTCCAAAGCCAGTTTGATGCCGTTGCGAGAGCCATGGCTCTGGCACGATAGCGAGATGGATACAGCTCCGCGATAATAGCCCAGACCATCGGTCCCCAGGTACTGGCAAAACCTAGAATGAACAAACAAGCGAATACCACCATCACTTTCCCAGGACCAGGCGTGAGTTCAGGTGATTCTCGGTCTAGTTTGAAATGGCCGATGGAAGCGAAAACCATAAAGCAGACGAACATCCAGAGTGCGCCGGCTATCAAGGACTTCCGACGACCAAAATGCTCAATGTTATACAAGCCAAGGAAGGTGCTTCCGAAGTTAACAGCCCCAAGGATCATTTGCGTAACGTAACTGTTTTCAATACCAGCACCTTTAAACACCGTTGTCCCATAGTAGAAAAAGTAATTGGCCCCGGTGAGCTGTTGTAGGGCTTGTAAGGCGACTCCGAGCAGAATTCTATACCTCATTCGGGGGGCATAGAACATCTCATACCACGGTTGGTCCTTTGCTGCCATTTCTTCCTCATATTTCTCACGGATTTCTTCCAGTTCTAGGTGGAGTTGTTGGTGATTGTGCGGGATGCCATAGAACCGCATCATTGACTTTTTCGCTCGGTCGACTTTACCTGTTCGATAATCATAACGGGGAGAGTCTGGGAAAAATGATATCCCAATACCGAGGATCAATATCCAGATGAACGTTATCCCGATCGTAATCCGCCAGGAGCCGCTATCATTACGGCTCTCGGTACCGAAATTGATGCAGTTGGCAACAAAAATGCCCAGAGTGATAAAAAGTTGATAGCAACTATGAACATTGATTAGGCGCCTATTCACACTAAATAGCATCATCGAAGCAACGGAGAATACCTGATCATAGCACCGCGAATATGTCGTGGTGCACTCTCCCCCTGATATAGAGGAACCAGCAACGAAAGCGCGCCGACACCAAGACCCGCGATCCAGCGACCAATAACCACCTGATACCATTTAGGAGATTCTGAAGTCAATTGAACGATAATGCCGACACTCAGTATCAGACACCAGCCGGACATTGACCACTTCCGCCCAACCCTATCGGCAATTGGCGCAGCACCCAGTGCGCCCATTAGCGTTCCAATAGAGAGCTTCATCCAAAATTAGACTACAAAAATTCAAACATGGCAGAGCGAAATTGGAAGGTATTAAACAAGGAAAACATACCAAGCCAACAATTAAGCCAGCACGAACATTGCTGAAATGATAACCGTCGCCAGAGGCATTGCGCTCGCCAAATCGCCTTAAGAAATCGTCCATCTCCAGTACTCCTGAGATCTGACCAGTGTCATATCCAAAGACGAACCCTCCCATCGAAACAAATACGCCCATGATGAAGGAGCGCCATGTTATCCAAGGGATCGGGGTATTGACAAATTCTTCCCCCAATTTCTCCTGGTCAACCTGAGAGAGGCGCCTTTCTAGAGCCGCTGAAGGATTATATTTTTCCAGACCAAAAAACCTCGAAAGTTTCGCCATGGTGAGAATTAAGGCGAATTAAAAGATGGAACTCCCCGTGGAGGGAAAACTGAGGACTATATAGAATGTAAAAATATTGTGCAAGCTGGTTCCAGTTGCTGGTCCTCCCATGATGAGCTTTCCACTTTATATAGTTTAGATTCCATAGTGGCATTATGGGACGTACAGTAGATGGTACATACAAATAGCCGACCCAAGAGCCGGTTCTCGATAATTCGCCGCGATGTTCAACGACGACGACGGTCAACAACATACCTAGGTATGCTGCTGTGGTGGCTGTTTGTAAGAATAAGCTTTTTTTAGCGCATCCTGGACCGGCCCCAGGACTAAGTCATGGCAAATGATGGAAGTATGATGCCATTTGTTGCCTCTTTTCGCTCTATTCCTGGAGGTAGATGGCCGCGTGACCATGTCTGGGGCCAAGACCAAACTTTATACTGGTCAATTACTTGTCGTATATATAATCATAAATCATTTTGTTTTAAATATTGAAAATCTCAGATAAACTTGTAAAAATTTAATTCTAAATAAAGCATATATTTTATATTCTGATTTAATTATTATAAATGATATTAAGAAAGACTGAAATTGTTTATAATATATAATATTATAATATTTCTTTTTATTATCTAAAAAATAAAAGTAGTAAAAAATTAAAGTAAAATAACACTCTTGTTTTCTGATTATAAAATATAATTAGACATGAAAAATTACAAAATTTCAGCTCAGAATATAAAAACTTTCTATAAATTATCATAGTGTTATTATTTTTTTAATAACTTGAAATTATTTAAAAGATATAAGAAAAGAAATTAGTTTTGAATAAAATAATAAAATAATAAAAAATAATAAAAGAATATTTAAAAATAGTAAATAATTATTTAAATAGATTATATCTTAACTTCTTCTACTTTTTCATATTAATAAAATTCTGAATTTACCTCAGTGACTGAATGATTAATACAGCTACTCAGTAGCATTTTAATATGAGAAATTAAAAGCATGCGAGTTTGAAGCTCGCAGAGAATATATTAAATTCAGAACTTAAGCATCTTAGATTTCTAATAAATACAGAAGTGTATAAATTACTATAATAAATTACTCTGTGTTTCTAAGCTAAGAAGTTATTATTATATATATCTAATGATCACTTATTTAATCTAGTTATTACTTATTTATATTTTCTTGATTTCAGTATTATCTTGATATGATTTCAATCTTTGTATTTTCTCATATAATCAATACTTAATCTGTATTTATTATTATGCAAGAACTCATCATAAGCTCTGCTTACATATGAGTATAATAGAGAAATATCAATAGCAATAATAATAAAATTCAGAATTTTTTTATTTTTTTATAGCAATTTGATTTGATGATAAAAAATCTATTAAATGCTTAGTTTCTATATCAGTTAAATATAGAAATTTCATATTTAATTAATTTAAATTATACTTTTCTTTTAATTTTACTTTGAAATTGCTATATAATACAAGTGTAATATATATACTTCTTATTTTTATTTAAATTATGAAAATGAATATTTGTTTAAATTAAATCTATCAGTAAATCTTTATATATAAAATTTAAAATACTTATATTCTAGTTTTAATTATACTATAGATAAGAATACTTTTCTTTTATATTTAATTAAATAAAATTATTATTTAGACTTTATTTTAAATTTTGAATGAGATATATTTCTTTTCTAATTTCTTTAATCGTTATTGTATCTTTTGAAATATTATTTTTTTATTTTCTTTTCATAAAACATCAGTACTGTAATATTTACTTTTATTACTTTTCAGAATGTTTACTTCTTTCTATATTTTAATACTATTCAGAACTACTTTTCATAGCATATATTTCTTTTTTTAATGAATTGTTTTCTGAAGTTTTTACTTTTTTCTTCTTTAACTCTGAACTGAACTAAGAGCAGAATCATGAATTGTATATTTAATTTCATTTAATCTGATTTCATACATTTCTTCATAAGAGTTTTATCAGAACTTAGTATTAAAAAAATTCAAAAATGAACTATTTCTTTCAAAACTGATCTGAAAAATGATCAGATTTAATACAAAAATATAGTAAGAGTAATTTCTCAAAATATATAGTGAAAGTTAAGTGTTTTTGAAAAAGTTAGAAGAAAACTATAACTGAAAGTTAAATTCAGTCTTATTCAGTTCATTCAGTGATTGTTTATATAATTAAAAGTTGATATTAATTGATATAATTCATCATCTAACAGAATAAATCACTTAACAGACTTTGAAGATGTTCAGTGAAATTTCTTTGATTAATTCATTAAACTTGAACTCTATAATCAGCTACTGAAGTGATACAAGCTATATATACTTATTTCATAGTTTGAAAGAATATATCTCTTTCTGTATTTAATAGTCTGATTATAGTATTCAATATTTTTTCCGCTTTGATAGCTCTTTGATGAAGATGATATTTAAAATGCAATTTGAAGTTTAATCATACTCTCAGTCATTTGTCATTCAAACTAAGTTAAATATTTTTGTTCAAAAGAGTAAGACTTAGTTTTTTCTCATTGAATCTGAGAAAAAAGTGAATTAACTCAGTTTTATTCATATTAAATTGAATTTGATTGATATCTGCTTCAGGAAAGATTTCTTTTTCTGCTTTTTCAATTACTTTTAACTTCTTCTTAATAGTTTTTAAACTGTAGACTAGAACAATATTATCTGCATGACTTGAAAATCTTACTATTTTCATCTCTCTATTCTTGATTAGATATGCAGTATATATTGTAAATAACACAAGTGAGATTGAAGATTCTTATGATACTTCTATTTTTATCACAGTTTTATCCTACTTCATTTCATCAAAAAATAATTGTATAATTCTTTTTAACATAAAACAATCAATCATATTATTATTATTCTTCTTCTATTATAGATGTATGTAGTCAGAGACTATGACATCTGTCTCAAAACTTCTAATTCTCAGAGTTCTTCTAGTATCTATAAAGCTACGGTAGCTTTATAAGACAATTAGTATTACTAATTGTCTTATACGTGATTACAGAACTTATGAAGATAATTCTTTACAGTCTGAATTGTCTGTTCTAACATGTCATCAGTTTCAGAGTGATAGACAGTTGATAAACAGCATGTAATCTTGAGAACTTGACAGATTATTGTTCAGAGAGTGCTCATGAATTAACAGCTCTGATCTGATACTATAGATCTCAGCAATTCATACATCTGATAGAATGAGCTCTGTAGAAAAGCTTCAGTAACTTATTCAGTATTTATCTTATCACAAGATTTCAATATTATATCTTTGCTCAATCAGTTCATAATAATCAGAACATTCTTACAATTCTTACTCTCAGAGAGATTAACAGTGAAGTCAATTGCTATATCTTGTCAGATTCTATCAGAGATATCAAGTTATTTCAGTAGATTCTTTCTACAGTTCTTTCACAAGATGACAGCAGAATAATGATTAAATAAAATATCTGATACTGTTTAATATCTCAGATCAGTAGAACGCTCAAGAGATCATTTAGTATAATTATTCATAATCTGAATGACTGATTATACATGAATCATGCATCTCTTGCATTATTCAGATATGTAAGAATTCAGAGTAAGAGACTTAATATTGTTCACAGAAATACAAAGCATTATTATCATTGATTAAGTATTTCTGAGATATCAGTTCTTATACATAGTTCTGAGAGGAATCAGAGAGCTTCTTGATATACTACTTCAGTGAGTACTTGAAGAAGTTAATCAGTTTGAGCTATTATATATTATAATTCCTTCAGTGTAGATTCGGAAGAAGTTGAGATATCAGTGTCAGTGTCAGTGTCAGTGTCAGTGACAGTTCAGAGAGAGAGTGTTCTAATCAGAGAAGCATATATAGTGTCATGAGTTGTTTTATCTTAATTAACTAATATCTTCAGATCTAGACGCTGATGTTCTCAGTTCATTCAATGACTATCTATTATATCAGAAGGCATATCTTACTCTCATTGTAAGAGAGCATCTGTTCTTGAGTTCTGGCTACTGAGACAGTAGTGTATTATAAAATGAAAGCAGCTTAAGAACTCAGATCATTGTATCTGTTATTCAGTGAGTTTACAGATAATTATGAAGTACTTGAGATTCTTATAATCTGTGATTATCTCAAATTCAGAGATACTTCAGAGTTCAGAGTCTCATTCTTCTAGACAGTATACAATCATAAGAAGTTTCTTGTTATAGATCTCATAGTTACATTCAGTGCAACTCAGTTTCTTAAATATGAAGATATATGATTATAAGACATCTTCATCATCATATTGTAATATAGCTTCTTTCATAACATAGTCAGAGAAGTCAGCTTCAATAACTATTTCATAATTAGAGTTAAATATCATTAATAGAGAGATGTTGATGAACATCTTCTTCATCTATATAAATACAGCTTCAGTGTTCACTGATCACTGAAATACTGAGTTCTTTCTGCTGAGTTCTGTAAGTAATCTTATAATATCTGAGAAGTTTTGTATAAATCACTGATAGAAGTTAGCAAATCTGATGAAGCTTTGTATATCTTTCACAGTATATAAAGCTTCTCATTCAAGAATAATGAAGACTTTTACAGAATTTATTCAAATTCTCTTGTCAGCTTCTATAATAAAACCTAGATATTTGATACTCTTGACTTCAAAGTCACACTTGTCAATATCTATTGATACTTCTGCTTCTCATAATCATTGTAATACTCTTTGCACATGTTCTTGATATTCTTTTCTGAACTTATCAGTGAAGATGAGAATGTCATTGAGATATATAGATGTAAATTTATTAAGAAAATCTTGAAGTGCTCAGTTGATATACTTCTGAAATATACTGAAGACATTGACCAGTTCAAAGAGTGTAACTATTCATTCAAAGAGACTATAATATGTTCAGAATACTGTAAGTTATTCATCTTCTTCAGTAATATGAATTTTATGAAACACAGTAATGACATCTAGTTTTGTAAATCATTGAGCTTATCTGATATGAGCTAGAGTTTCATTGATAAGAGATAAAGAATAGCAGTTCTTCTTGATTAATTTGTTCAATTCTCAATAGTTCACACAGAATTGAAGTTCTTTATCTGATTTCTTTACAAAGAGAATAGAAGCTGCAGTGAAAGAGTTGCTAACACATATGAATCTCTTATTCAACAGATTATTAAGTGTCTTTCAAAGAAGAAGAAGTGCATCTTGAGACATATTATAAAGAAGATCTTATGATGACTTGAGATTCTTATTATTCTTTCTTTCTAACTTGATACTGTGATCTACTTCTGAGTCTTGTAAGAAGAGTATATTTGTAATATTATCTTATCAGAAGACATCTAGATA